TCAGGCACATTGTGCAAATGCCTGCTGATAGCGCAGCTCTCAGAGGTGCTGGAAGGTGTTAGAAGTTCCTCCCTTCCCTCTTCTCAACAGGGTACCACCCTCTCCAATGAGTACTCATTAGTCCCATGTCAGCTGGGGGATTTGTAGAGAAAAGACGCTCAAAAGTGAAATGTATAAAACCATTACAGCCCTCCGATGAAGACACCACCTCTGTAAAAAGCTAAGGCTTGGAGATTTTTATCCTTTTGGTCAAGAAGCTGCTGAGAGAGCCTAGATTTGATCAGAAAAGCAGTAGGTGATCTTACTAACTGAGTTCTATATATTTTTCTGGACTTTGTGCTTCGGTATGTATAGAAGAGAATTAAGTAGTTTTCCATGAAGACTGCATTCTGGGACTAGAAGCCTTTTTATATATTTTATTTTATATTTTATTTATTATATATTTTATTTGTTGTCAGATAGGGGGTTGGAGATTCATGATCCTTGAGATCCTTTCCAACATTGGCCATCATGTGATTCTGTGATTTCTGTAGTAAGTGAATTAAATACCCTCAGCAAACTAGAAAGGATGTGATTGTTTAAATTTTGCATAATGGAGGATGCTCTTTGAACCTCAACCCCAAAATAAATGGAATTTATTTCTTTGGTTTGACTCAAGATTGTCACAAGTTTGTGAACAAACAATTCTGGAGCTGTAACTAGTCAGTTTAATTTCTTGTTCTGAGTGAAAATTGGTTTTGGAAAGAATTTCCTAATAGATTCTACATGGGCTTCCACAGATCTGGCCTGCGTTAAATGTCAAGAAATGCCGTCTTTGCAATTGGACAGCAAAGCGTTTCTAATGTCCCCTAAGCTAGAAGGAAATGAGGCAATGTAATATTTTCCTTAAAATTTCTCAAATTGTGATGAATTTGAAAGTATGAAAATGAGCTGGGTTCTTTTTTTTTTCTTTTTCTTTCTTCAAGACACGGCCTTCTGAGCCTGCGACACCAGGGCTGTGTTTTGTAAGATGTGAGTGTAGCTCCTCTGAAATTACTGGAGTGATTAACTCGGCTGCTTTTCTCTTTGAATTTTAATGGTTTGCAGGGTCAAAACATGAAGGTGTAAACAGTGCTGGAGTGACCACCTCCAGTAATTGGAATTCTAGCTGGAACTGGATGGGCAACGCGCAAGCAAAGATGAAGGGCACTTGCCTTATAACGTATGCACCGTTTATTTCCATAAAGGCTTTGGAAAACTTAGAGGACAAATCGTGCAGGAAGGATGACACTTTGCTGTCAATGCCCGTAACATAATTAGAGTATCCACAATCAGCAGAGCATGCAGTTCATGTGACAGACTGACCTGTGGGCAGATCCGCCGCTGCAGGAGCAAATATGGGCTAATGGAATAACTCCAGGAGCTGCCCACAGTTTCCTTCTGGATATTTTCTTTGCCAGGATGAATTCTTGGATTATTTTCTCTACTCAGTATTTTACTGCAGTTGCTCCTGTAGGCAAAGCTGGGGTGAGAATATTTGAAGAAGGCTGTAAACTTGCATGTTGAAAGGCAGATCGCTTCCCTCACGGTGATAGTGGCCCTTGGAGGACTTAGTGCACACTTGCAGCACCCTTCAGTTGTATAAATCTGCTCCAGATGACGAGTTTGGAGGAAGCTCCCTACCTACTAGACAATGGGCATGGGAAGAGCAATTTCTCTAATTGCAGAAATTCAAAAGCAAGAAGGGCCTTTAGCAGGAGTAGGATTTAGATTGGTCTGACCAGCTAATTAGAATATTTCTTTCAACTGGAAACATGCTTCCCACAGGAAATGGCTGTGGATACCTGGAGCAAGTTCTTCCTAGTTCTTCTTCTCAGCAGCAACAGGCAAAGAGAAAAATAAAAGGAAAGTGAGTTTCAAATTAGTGATCCTGTGGTTGAAAAATGGTTATTATTTACTTTAAAGCAACCCAAAGCTAGTTGCCTCTTGTCAGCTCCGTGGGACTCCTGCACTTTCTGAATTTAAATCTGCCATGTGTGGAGCACTTTCAACATCTTGTGTAGTGTGTATTTCTTTTCCTCTCAATATTTGACAAGAATTTCAAGATCCTGGGCTGTTGTGTTTTCTTAGGCAGCCTGTGTGGAAGGATGCGTTTGGCGGCAGTACAAGAGGCAGTGCTATAAAATTTATTTTCGAACGTTTAGATTCCTCTAGGATGGGTTTAAAGGACTGCTCTTTAATTAAAAGCGCCGTACACTTAGTAAAAATCCATGTTAGTTGGGAAATTGATTTTTGGTGGGTCTTTTTTTTTTTTTTTTTGCTTTTTAAAGGGAAGCTTGAGTTTCCTTGTCTGGGGTAAATGTCACTCTGCTTCTATGGCGGCTTTGCTGTGAGTCAGGACTTGTACTGTTCCTCCAGGTTGTCATAGAAACGCAGCTAACTGTCAGCTCAGCTCAGGCTGCTGATGGTTTTATTTGTTGGTTTTCAGGATTATTAAAATTTAACAAAAATTATTGATTTGCTTTTTATTAACAACGGCTCGTGTTTACTTTAGAAGTTCAGACTGCATAGAAGCTTTCCCTGAAAGAAAAAAATGCCATAAAAATGATTAAACTCTGATACTCTCAAGAAGGGATCATCAAATGCATTTAATATATGGGCTGGGGTCTGCAGCAACGGAGAAATCTCGCATTTTTTGCAAATCACCTTTTCATATCACTTTGTTTGCAGCCAAGTCATTGCCTTACCTTCCTCCCCTCCCCCCCCCCAATGTTTCAATTCATCTTTTAGCTCGACTTTTACTTAACATAAAAGATACCTGTCAAGAAAGCGTGAAATGGGTGCATCATTGTGCCTCCTATTTGAGGTTTCATTTTATTTACTTCTTCTTGAAGCTTGGCAGAATGCTTCAGTGCACTGACTTCTGAAAGTATATATTTTTTTTTGTATATGCATGTGCATATGGGAAAAATTACTTAGTTTTCACTCATAAATAAGACAGGCAAAACTTATTTACAGTGACTTTATCTAATGGTCCATGGATGAATGCTTTTATGCAAACTACTGAAGAGGCTAGAATTAACTTTTCACATTGGTTGCACATTTGATGTCCAGACTTCAGCAACATGTGGGATCTTAGAAAAACTAGATGGCTGGAGTTCAATTTTGACTTTTACAAATTTATTCAGAGATTACCCACACATTTCAAGTGTAATCTTTGTGAGCAGTGTATAAAATGCAGTAATGTATTAATTGCTGTAGAATGGATGCACGCTTCCTTCCTCCTTCCACCACTTAAAGCCTTTTTCCTTTGACTTTACCTCCTCCTGCACCACTGTAGTCATTTATTAAGGATCTGTGGGCACAAGTAATTTGGCTGATTTATATACAGCCCTGTAATTTAACATTGTCATTCTGTCTGGTAACAACTTTGTTCATTGTTGGGCTTACTGAATAAAATTGTTTCTTGGTGGACATTTTGACACCTCACTTCAGACTGCTACGTCATGGGCTGCTGACATCCCTATATTAATCTCATTTGTATTCTGTCACAAAACTCTGAAATAACATTTCAAAAGATCCTTTCTTTGCAGTGTGTTTCTATAAGCCTGGTACTTAATACTGAATGTTTCCGTAGGTCCACATGGCTTCTTTTATGTTTTGTATGAGAGTTTGTGGATATTAATGTGTGTGGTGAAAGCAGATGTGGCAAAGGCAACTTAAACAAAACATTAATGTCTCTTTTCCCACAGTCGTTTTTCAGATCATTAGTTACAAAAAGACATTGCACAGAGAGAGTTTTTCTGCCATTGACTGACACTGTTCATTTTTATCTTTAGTCCTAGGAATTGGAAACCAATGGTTTGTGGGAAGTAAAAGATCTGCATTACTGGGGCTCTCACTGGCATGCTTTGGAAAGTGTTTTGTGTGAGAAATACATTCAACGTTGATGGATTAATTAGAACTAATAGTGTATGTAGGAGATTATTATGAAAGGCCTACTGCTTCCCAGTGTGAAACAACTATATGTATGGGTCTGTGTAGGTCTAGGCAGTACAGGAGAACTGTGGCTTATTGAAACTCATGATTACTTGGCATTATACTTCAGTAGACCATCGGTTACAGATAGATGCCTGTGGCACAGGACTACTTTGCACCTTGATTTTCCTTTCCTCAGGAGACAGTGTGCTGCGTGATCAGTGAGTTTGCTCCTTCTGCTTTTTACCTCAGCTTCCTCTTTGCTCACTGTGTGCCACTTCCTTTGCATCTAGGTAGTGATGGATGATAATACCTAACACACTGGAAAAGAAAAAGAAAGGAAAAGTTTGATATTTACTGCAGATGATAGAGGTGACCCATAAGAACATACCAAGTCCAGATTGTCTTCCCAGATACTATTGCAAAAATATGCTTTTTTTTAACTAACAAACCATTGGTGTGCCTTACACAGTTGCCTTACTTCTAGTGGATTCTTGTTTTTGTTTACAGCATTTTGCCCATATCCTTCCTACAGAGAAACTTCGTCTTGTGAAGGTCCTGAAGTTTATTGTAACCTGCATGCTTCAGCTTAGACTTAAATGTGGCGATGGTAGAACAGTTTATTTTATCACCATTCATTTTTCCATATCCATCTCTTATATTTTTTTTCTGAATTGGGAATGACTAATTTTATGTAGCAAAATACACGGACTTTTTTTTCCATGCTTTTTTAGAAATCAACTAAATGCCTCTTAGACTACAGCTGAACTGGTATGCTATTAATACAGCCTTTGTTTGCACACGGAACTTTGGAGTGAAAAAAAAGATCAGTAACAAAAAAGCACAACCCAAATTCTGGAATGATAAAAATGTGTAAGTTTGGCTTTGGATTGTAATGGCTGTTGTTAAGATGTGATAGTGATCCATCTGTGCCTGTTGCTGTATAACAATTCTGGGATATATTTGCATTTCTTTTTATTTAAAATCAACTTCTAAATTTTTTTTTGTTTTCCTCCCTTCTATTTATACCATTCTAAACATAGGAAGATGAGAGTGAAGAGGAGCCCAAGCTGAAGTATGAGCGACTTTCTAATGGAGTGACAGAAATTCTGCAGAAAGATGCAGCCAGTTGCATGACAGTGCATGAAAAGGTATCGCACAATTTTAGGGCAGAGATGGTACTTCTGCTTGGGTTTATGTATTTATCTATGCTTACAATGCACCAGTATGTTTATGTGTGGATGTACTGCCAGATTTAGAGGTGCAGTGGAAGTCAACAATAATGTGAATAAAATTCACAGTTAGTGGTGAACAGTCCTTCCTTTCATGGTGAGAGAATGTGGTCAGAATTCAAGATGCAGTAATTTGTTAGATGCTGTGTTTACATAAGCTTCTGGGAAATGCTTACTAGATTTAATTATGGACAGTATTATGAACAACAACTGGGATACAATCCCAACTTTTCTTCATCCAGAAAATGAATTGTCACGTAATATGTTTATTTCTACAGCCTGGATCTCTGAAAACAGGTTCATGCAAAGGGATAGCTCAGCATATATTCAGCTGTGGAAGATGCCTGAGTTTCTGTTTACATGATGTGAAGAAAGTAATTACAGTGTGTTGTTTTTCTTAATGCTCTAATACTGTTTCAGATGTACAAGAGAATGAAAGGGAAGAAGGGATAAACAATGCAAAGAGGAAATTTTATTAAGAGCTGTTTCTTTGTTCTTACCATAAAGGAACTTAAGTTGTACTTTGATTTCAATAATTCCTTTATTTTCTCGTCTTTTATAAATACTGGGGAGAGTTTTAAAATATGATGAATGATGAAGAACATCTGAAAGTGTGAGATTTGTCATGATTTGTCAAGTAACTATTAGTATGTAAAACATAATTGTTGCTTTCTGAATTAATTATTTTTCACAGCCACTAATAACTCCTTAACATTGATTGTTGAGGGACCTATCTGTTATTTGGCTACATTTTTAGACTGACTCGTGCTGTGCCTCTTGTACTCAAAGGACTGCTGCCACGGCTCAAGAGGCTCTTAAGATGAGGCGTGTATTTTAACTGTGGGAATTAATCCAATAAGTCTTCCGAAAATGTTTTTTGACAACCTAGAATTAAACAGATATTTTGAAAATTGACAAGCATTTCTTCCCCGTATGCGCCACCTTTCTGAGATTCAGGTGAGTTTTGAAAAGCAAGAGATAAGCAGGATTCTTCTATAAGGACGTGCACAGATACAGCTTTAACTACAGCATCACAAAGAGTGGCAATACAGGAAAGCTGTTTAAGTATCCCAACACTTTTAGTTTCCCAGCAAACTGTATACACTATTTATGAGAAGGATCAATATGGTTAGAAGCTAGGTACTGGAGCCTGTTATGTGTCTGAAATATGTCTGCTACAATAGAGAACTTAAAACTGAAGGTGGGTTATAGGTGCTGTTGGGGTGTTCTTTGGTTTGGTTCTGGTTTTTTTCCTGCTGAAACAAGAAAAGCCCTGCTAAAGACTCATCATTAATAAAATTGCATCACACTGTGTAAAATATGTCTCTGATTAAAGCTGTTGAACTTTGCTGGGAATCCTGAAAATCTGGCTTCTGTTTTCAGACTAATTTCCCCTCAGAATTATTTTTTTCTTTTCACTGCTAAAGCATCATATTTTCACCAGGCTTGCTGTCTGCACTGGATGACTAATCGTCATGGCACCTGGTGCATTCAAGCAGGCCTGTGCAGTGGAATAGTCATACCTAGTTATGTCTGCACACCTGATGTTTTATTAACCAGTATTGATTTTTTTACCCGGGGGACTTTTTTCTTCCTGAAAAAAGGCAACCTTGCAGGAGTGAAAGGCATTGCAGGGAATGAATTTCTAATGAACCCCTTCTTTCCCTTTTTTGACTCCTTTTAATGTAGCTTCATATTTTAAGTGCCTGAACTGAAATTTCATTTTAAGCAATTCCATTTTGATAAATCCTTTTAAACCTTGACTTTCTGTAAGGTTATTTTTTAAAGATTGTGCTGCCTGACTGACACGCTTAGCAGTGCCTGTAAATTTGAGCATTTCATTATAGGTTGCAATGAAGCATGCTCACATGCAGTGAAATACAGAGAATTGAGGAGCCTAGACTATTTGAGTAATGCTGAAAGGAGGTGGGGGGGAATAAAAGAAACCTCTGTCATAAATCAAGTAGTACCAAAGTTCTTCCTTTCCAGCTTAGGTGTAGTTTGCATGGTTCAATTAACAGCAGATGTCTCAGAATCAATTGCAGTCTTGTTTGTATCAAAATAATTTTGTGATGGCATGTATTTTTGTGGAGGTCGCTTTATTTTGTTACTTATTTTTAGAATGAAACTCTGAAATACCCAAGGAGAAGTGTTATTTGTATTGAGTCTGCCACATAGGAGTGTTACTAAGTGAAAGAAAGCAAACCTTGTAGTTGTGTGCTTAAAAGCAAGCAGAGACTTTCCATAATCCAGCAGTGTCTTACCAATGGCCTCTTCCTCTGTTTGAATGTTTTGCTTTTATGTTTGTGATGGGGGAATTAAAGCCCAAATGAAACCATGACAATTGAAACAAAGCTGTGGAAAGGATCCCAGAACTATTTCTGGTCTGTGTTTAAGTACTTGCTTTCACACTGCATTTTTAATTTGCTGCCACAGTCCATCAGGCAGTGCATACAGACTGCAGACACACCATTAGTTGTCAGTAGATGAGGATCCTCATGACTCATTCTGACAGCTAACTTGCACTATCACAGTAATATGGGCTTGAAGCCCTGTTTTATTCTTTAGCTGCAGTTAAAATAAGCTTTGTCTATAGCAGGTGTGGTTTTTTTTTTTTTTTTTTCCATCTGAGTGTTGCTAATCATTAATCTGTTAAACATCCCGGAGTTCATTTAGCATTGCTGTAGTTCTGGTTGTGGTGTCTTGAATAATCAATCTCTTTCTTTTACAGTTTTTGGCACTGGGAACACATTATGGCAAAGTTTATTTGCTTGATGTCCAGGGGAACATCACACAGAAGTTTGATGTTGTAAGTATGGCATTATTTACAGCACATCTACTGCATTGTAAAAAGCTGTGATGTACTAAATAATAGATACATTCATGTTTGTGCTACACCTGAAATTTTACTAATGTATTTCGTGACTCCCCACCCCCGCCGTAAGACAAGAGGCAATTTATAGCCCTTGGAAAAAGAAGTTGAACTGCGTGGTTTGTGATGAGCACGTCTCAGTTTCCATGTAATAAACTCTCTTTCTGAAAACAGAAGAGGAAATACATATTTATGATTGTAAATGGCTATTATTAATTATGTACCCCAGAAGCTCGTGACTTCCATAAGGTATGAGCCCGCTCATTAGGTGACTGTTGTCAGTTGTTAGTGTGTATGCTATCATCTTATCTAGTTGCCACAAGTAATTGAAAATTGATTGATTGCCTTGCTGGTTCAGTTTATCTACTGCAAATATATAACGCTAATATTTTATGTGAATGTTTTGAAGCTTGGACTCTTAAGGGATTGTATTGATTGAAGGAAGAAGAGGCAGACTTCTTTTTTTTCTTATTTTGGTTCCTGATATTAGGGGATGAATGAAGTAGTCAGTTTAAAATTGTGTTCTAGAATATTAAATGGTTTTTTTTTTTAATTGTACATATTTGTTGATATTTTTTTTTTTTTTAATTTTTGCTTTATGTTTTTTTACGTATACACACACATCTTTTTCAGTGTCCTCTTTTTCCACGAGAGCCAGAGGAAGGGAACTGGCAATTATTTTTTTTTTTCCTCATGCTATTGTCACAAAATCTGGTAGCCAAGCATCAACTTTTCATAGCAGTGTCAGCACTTGTCAGAGTATCCATTGCAAGGTGTTGGCATGTTTGCAGAAAGAACGTATGTTCTAAAGCTGACACAGCTTGCTGCATAGGAAGGGTGAAAGGTTTTGTTCATAGTTTTGAAAAATCTAATTACACAATTGTTGTGCAAGAGGAAAAAAGTCTCAGCCAAAATGTAGCCTCCTAGGCACAGGCTTTGCAGAAAACTTTATAAATAGTAACAGTCAAATTAACAATGATCTTACTGGGCATTAATTAAAAGTTAACCTAATGATGTTCTACAATTTCTTGTAACTTTTTACTTTTCTTAGCTCTATAGCGGTGATGCTGACTGCAGTTCAAAAGAGGAAAGACTTTGATGTCTCCAATTGGTGGTTCCAATTAGATTATGTGTATGTTACTTGTTAACTTTGTCTTCAAATAATCTATCGGGGGAAAAAAAACAGATTAAAGTGTACCTGAATTCTCTCCCATCACTGCAATAAAAGATTTGACTCAAGAACTTGCTCAAATGAAGTTGACATTTTCTCTCGAGGCAAGCATTAAATGCCTTAGACTTGTATTCATTCCAATCTGTGTCAGGTAGTTGAAAGAGTTCATTTGTAGAACTGTCTTTTTTTTTGTGGGTGCAAGACCAGGGCCATCTTCCTCCACACTCCTTCCTAAATATGAAATTTATATCCTTCTGTAAAGATGCAGTGTACAGCAAGTCATGGGAGATGTTGTCTACTAAAGAATCTAAAACCAAATCCCTGGGTTCTCTTTGTACCCACCCACTCAAATCTGCTGTTCTTGTTTTCTTCATTATTGAAGCCCTATTAGGAGCTGCAGGAAGGCTCTTTTCTTAGGATGAATTTAGTATTGGTACATATAAACCACTGCTCTACAGCTTTTATGGTATTATCTCCTTTCTGAATCTTTACTGGCTTCAGATAAATATTTTTGTGCCATGTCTGATTATAGAGATAAAGTGATTACTTCTTTTTCAATTCTTTTTCTTTTTTAGATGTAGACTAGAAAAAAAAGTGTTTCTTGCAGTATATTCTTCATATCTGTCTGTTGTTGGTTTCTTGTTTATTTTGTTTGTTTCTTTTCTGGTAATATATGAATCTCCTGTGCAAAAGATAATTACATCAAAGATCAGATGGAAAGGGTACATTTTGTCTTTTTCATAGTTTGAAGAAAAATAATTTTGATCAAGGAGCACTTCTAAAGTTGCATTCTAAAGAAAAGGTTTACTTTGGAATTACTAGGTGTTGTAGAGCAGAATTAACTATGTGTGTGTGGAACAAGGCAGCTTGTAACATCCTTTTCTGGTTAAACAGAGAGGGATTTTTTGAATGAATGCTGTCAGCTGTTGAACCAGTAGAAATAGTTTGTTTTCTACTGGCTGCTATATGTCAGAATATTTTCCTTCTAACCTGAACTTCTAAAGATTTTGGACTACAGATTAGAATGACAGGCAAAACTCTTGATGGGTTTTTCCTTCTCTTCTTCCACTATCTGTTTGCTGTCTCTCCTCCTTGGAGATTTCCATTATAGCACTGCTCTATTGTGAATTGCAAACAAATATTTCTTAAAGAATTAGAGTCACTTCATGGACTCCATAGATGCAAAACATTATCTTGTAATTTCTCTATAGCAGGGAGTTTTTTCTTTGATTAAATTTTCTCTGGTTCTTCATTGGGTCTAGAATGAGAAAATTGCATCTGAGATGTGTTTCCATTCATGAGTGTAAATACAAGATAGTGTTTACTATCTTGCAATAGTAAATAGGAGAAAGTTCTGTTGTTACTAATTTCTAGAAATTTGTAGTGCTTAAAAATTGTTCCAAGTAAATAAAATAGTGTTTTGTCAAAGAGACATGACCTTACCTCATGCATTGATATCTTGGGCAAAAGTTCATAGTAAATATATGTTGAAAATATCATTACTTCTCTCTTAGTCCTCTTGATTTCCATTTATCTCTCTTTATTTCTATTGAACAAATAAATACAAATTTTGTTTTTAAGAGAAGTTTGATTCCATTCTATATTGGCTTTCATTTGATTTTGATCCCAATTGTGAGACAGATATAAAGACTGACCTCAGAGGATTTACTTACTTCTTCATGTCATACGTGATTATCGTGTCTAGTTTCTGTGAACATTGAGAGAGAACTGACAGGTATGTTGCAGAATCTCCAAGATAGCCAGTTTCTGGATCATGATCTTGAAGTCTGAATTACACAGAATTGCAGAGGTTGGAAGAAATCTCAAAAGATCATTAAATTCACCCCCCCTTGCTAAAGCATGTACCCTACAATGGGTCACACAGGTTGGTGTCCAGATGGGTCTTGAATATCTCCATAGATGGAGACTCCCCAACCTGTCTGGGCAACCTGTTCCAGTGTTTTGTGCCATAAAGAAGTGCTTCAGCATGTTTGTATGGAGCTTCCTTTGTTCATATTTTAATTAATTCAGATATCTAAAAAACAAAGAATACCTGTTTGGTTAGTTTTTTTTTATAAAGAAACCTGTTAGAACATCATCCTGTAATACTGATAGAATACTTAGGTTATTTTGTTGCTGAATTGCAAATATTGTTTCTAGTGCTGCAAAAGCTTATATTCATGTACTCCATAAAAATTCTCGAAGGCTTCTGTGAAACTAACCTCGAATGGCTTAGAAGTCTTTTCAGATCAATCTTTCTTCTATCCTCTGCCAGGTCAACTAGTAGTTTTTTCAGGTTTGCAACTCCTCTTTGCAATAAAAGTGAAAATGTGTGCTTTGAAACCAGTATGGGAGATTTTTAGTTTTTTGAGAATTATAAGACAGGAATTTACTGGTGTCCCAGTCACCACACTTGTGCTCTTACACGATCTCCTCTCCTGCAGCCTAGCCTGTTTTTGTTGGTTTTTTTTAGCTCTCACCAGCGTGCCTGTCTTTGACAATGTCAGTCGCCTAAGATTAACTGATATGCATCCTCAAATAATGTATGTTTGACAAACTGGTGTTCTGTTGTACTAGGGTTCAGTGCATTGAGTGAGATGAAATGTGTCAAATGCACTGAAAATTATTACTAAAAGGCAACAAGAAGGGGGAAAAAAGCCTGCTAATGCCACTGACAAAGGATGATGCAGGACTGATTCACAGCATGTTAATTTCAAATGCCTCTCCGTCTTTCTTTTCCTCTTAGACTGTCTACAATTTATTAATATAATTATTGCTTCAACTGACATCTTGTGGATTAAGGACTTGTAGATATGAAGAAATCTGTACAAACATGTTTAGTTAAGTAACAAATCAAAAACCTTCCAAAAGGCAAGAAAATGTGTACTCATTCTGGTCTTCTAATAAACATCAAGCTTAAAGCAGAAATGAGAAGAAGTCTTGGCTGGTGCCAGTGATATTCTGTGAGAAGGAGAAACAGCACCTATTTTACTAGTAATAGGTAATTTAAATATTTAATGCCTCTCAGGTGCTTCAGAGGTGATGCATGAGCCGAGAAAACAACTGTAAATAGAGTTTGAAAATTTATCTTAGTGCAAAGAAGTTGAAGTTTTCTTTGCATGCAACACTTGTGAGCTATTCAAAACTGCTGGAATTTCAGAAAGAGAATGAAACATTAAAACATTCTGCCTGTTTTTGCAGAATTTCTTTCCACTACATACTTTTTTCTCGGCCTCATCATTTTTTTCCTAATTATCTCTCGTTACGTAGTACTAAACATATCTTTATGTCACTTTAATCAAAGTGGCAGAAATCCAGTCACTAGGCCATCTCTGCTTCCTTGAAAATTCAAAGAGGAATTCCTTCAGTTGTGATATTATTGTCCTTGGACCTATGAAAGTTGCAGCACTATCCAGCTTCTGGAGCAAGAGTGTTTTTTATTTAAAGATAAATCGATGGCCCTTTGGTGTTTCTGATAACAAGTTGCAAACAAGTGTCAGAGATTTCTCTTAACTTACCAGCCTTTTGAAAGAATTTAATTGCTAACAAGAAAACCATATTTCCTAATGAAGAAGCAGCTATTGCTGAGCACTGAGTGCTATTGCTGGAAATGATGCAGAACATACTAACTATTGAGGTAGATAATGAAGCATCTTTCAATGGGGAATGTAACTTTTAGCATTTGATTGTATAATGAAGAAGTTAGTTTGAATGGAACTTTATGTGAGGGTTTAAGACTAAAATGATATAAATGTCACTTATTTTG